CCTTGGTTCGAGCCCAACAAGACGATTGACATGGTCTTGGCTACATGCCATAGCAAACTTGGCATCAACCATACGTTCAATTGATAATTGATCACCGTGACATACAACGTTATAGAGGGGTTTTCCATTTTGTGATGGTACATACTGTCCAAGATGTCGCATTATCTCAATCACACCTTTGCTGGAGGAAGGGTTGGCTTTTATTATACCAAGGTTAACCTGAAAAACGCAAATATATCAATATCCAGAGTAAGTATATAACAAATGACTTGGACATGGTTATAAATTTAAATCATATACCATCATGCTATATTCAGAGAAACCATCCGATTTATCGTTTGGACTGTTAATATATTACTGTACATTTCGGCCGTAGTATGGTGCTAATTTTCATTGACCTATTTCAAAACATTACACTTTATATTGGTTTAAAGACTTAAGTTTAGACTATAGTTAGAAATGTGTCAACGTGGGTATTTAGTGTGAAATGAGTGGAAAGTATCTATTTTAATTGTCATCATTGTACGACTAACTTTACTGAGACACAACTGAACACCATAGTTTAGTTGTTTAGTTTTGGGTGTGAATATTATGTGATATTGGGACTTACAATCTCACTCTTTAATCGTGATTCAGAAGAGTACTTGTGCGATATATGCCATTATATTTGTGTGTCCTTTAAACACTCAAAGTTGCGCACAAGAATACGCTGAAATTGATGTGATTGATAGCAACATCTATGAAAGTAGACTTCTGTAAATGGTCAAATAATATTAAAATTAGCAGATGAACCAAGTATGCAATATTCTTCAATATAACAAATGTTGAATGAGAAAATAATCATGGCTTTAAATATAGGTTGATAAATGTAAATTAGAACCATATAAAGAATTATCGAAATACATACCTGTTTGTCTGTTTTCTCTACTACCGGTTGCATTGATGCCGTAACTTTTGGTGGAAGTTGAAAAACCACTTGTTTGGCAGACGTTGCCCCTGAAGCCTCTTCTTCGCTGGATTTTCTTTTAAATCCAACACAGGGAGAAAAACATCGTTCGCGAAGCTCGTCTTTAACACATTGAGCCTTTTTTTCTTAGTTTGCCAAACCTACAGATTAGACTGTAATATGTTTGGCAAACAAAACCACCATTTTGTGGTTCCTTGAACAATTCAACTACAATGTCATAAACAGTGAAATTGCAACAAACATTTGTGCCAACTCCATATCGTTTCAAACTTTGATTTCGTTTCTGAAACGGTTGGTTGCAATGAACACACGTTATTGACCCAATACCGGACATGTTGTGTACATTCTCGGGGAATCCCTAACCGCATTACCTAATGACAACAACGTGACGCCATATTGATCATGTGATACCGACCTTGTCCAGTGTGTGTAAGATGGCGACAAACTGTGTTTTAGAGTGACAGTCCAAGAATACTCGGGTGAATGGGCTTTATTTGAAATTATTAAGTTTCAATCCTTACTGTGGCGAGTATTTAATAAATGTACAATCTATCGACCTTAGTATGGAGTCGTTTTTCACAAGACATTGTCTGATTTTTAATCGTTTATTTGCGCAATGGTTTCATTGCGGCGTCAACATGGACGGTACTCTATGGCTGTCACCATAGCTCTACTGTGTCGACAATACCATACAAATTTCAAGTACGTTTATTATAACATCAGATCGACACAAGCAGATCTATGGACCTACAGCTAGGTAACACAGCCACTGGAAAAAAAATCATTGATTTGGGTGTTCTCATCTGCGGATTTTATCGAATTATAGCTATCCCATTCCTTTATTTTTTTGGTTTCCAATAGCCTTACACATTTGTATTCCCCTACACATGTTAAAACAGACCTTGAAGGGAAAACAAATCAATTGTGTCGAATAAACCAGCTTGAAAGTATTTGCTTTGACTTCATGGACGTTTTCTAGGAGTTTAATTTTTTTCAAAATACAAGGTCGTTAACAAAAAATAACGTATACTTATTGTCGTCGGATCAAATTTTAACAGCTTTAAGAAAAACTCGAATGTGTCCAGACAAACTATTTCGTGGATTATTTACCAACGTGTTGTGGTTTGAGTTGGTGGCAATGCGACTAAAACAGAAATTAAAAATCAGCACACTCCTTTTTAAAACGCATTGCTTGAATAAAACTGACAAGACACATTCAATTTACCAGTGTATTGAACTACTAGGTAAAGTAAAAAAAACTTCTTATCACCAGCAGTAATTTTTTACCATTGATTGGGTAATGCGTCGTAGAATGCAGATACGGGCATGAAACACACATTTTAAAAAAGTTTGAAGTCTGGCGATTCAAAAAATATATCCTTTCCTGAGTCTTTTTTTTATACATTTAGTCACAATTAGAAGATGAAAACAAGTATGCAAACAATAGTCCCGCTACCTTATCGACACATCTTCCCGAAACTTCTAGGCTCTTTCTATTGCACTTTATCTGTTATTATTGATATTTGCACCAATCGATATGTTTACCTATATTAATATAGTTGAATTTTAATGATTGAGGTAACAAAAACAATAAAGCAAACACAATAAATTAGCATCTGTTTGATTATATATGGCAAATATGAATCGTCTATATTATCTAACAGATCCTCTACTTCTGAATAAAATATTTTCAATTCAACAAAATCATTATAGTCATAAGAAAACAAACCAGGAAAGTAATCAATATTGGACGATGTATAATCTCTTTTTCTGCATCGTTGTTAGTAGCAGAGTCTGATAATTTATGGCTTTCATTGTAAGAATTGACGCGGATTTATAAGATATTATTACTCGTTCAAGTTTAGAATTTCTGAAATGACTAAGAGCGCGAACAACTTTGAATTATGTCTGACGACACTCATTATTATACCAACCATGTGTCGTATTATGTTTACGCTTTAAATTGGAAGGCTTCATCTTAGTCGTTTCAGAAAAAAATAACATAACATTATCAATTACAATCAATACTTGAATAACACTTTTCTGATAAATTATTAAAATTACTACTTGCAAAGTATTAAAATTTTCGGCATGTAAATCACCCCACTTATTTTTATAATATTTGTTGTTTGTGTCGACTGCAGCCCCTCAACGTGTGCTGCGAGAAACTGAGTAGGATTTGGAAAATCAAAGGTTAATGTTCGGATTCTGGCCTATTATCGACTCGGCAATTGCTAAACGAATTACAATTGTCAACCGATTTTAACACGTAATACACCACGTTTGCACTTCGATAGTTACACATGTAAATCCTCCACTTCAATTACCTTCGCCAATGCACCCATTAGCTATTTCATACCAGTGTCTTTACAAAAGTCAAGCAACAAATTCCCACATGGATTCGAAAACCCGTCTTCCGACACACGAGTACACGTAGTACACATTTATTGTTACCTGCTTCTACATATTATCACGGTAAAATAATGCCAAATATCGAATTGAAGTTACAACTGGTGCACAATTTAAGCTACATAAAATCACAATAAAAAACTTTAATTGTTTAATTGTATAACTTATAGAGAATATAGACGGTCTTATAGAAATAGCACCCACAGAGTCGAAATGAGCTCAAATGGCGGTAGTCCAGATTTAACTTTATTGTGTAGCATATTACATATTTATTCGAAAATAGCATCCACCAAAATATTTTTAATTTTTCGAAATCGACATTTGATTAATCCCACTGTCACAATATCTACCATGACCATTTTTAATAGTTGTCCATATTAATGTTCGACCCTGCTAACAAACCTTGTTTGGGTATCCAATACAACGAGAGGTTTATCAATAGTTTTCAATGGATTATCAAAAAAAGTAACATAGGAATGACTATTGTATATTTCTTTATTAGATAAGGTAGAGAGAGGACATGTGTTGTTATTATTTTCAACTGAATGACATTTTGATTAATCTAATAGGCACTGAAAGTAGTAATGCTTCCAGAAATAAACAATGTTTTTGAATGCTTTGTCACCTGACACGACAACACCAATTCTCGAACCGTCAGTAATGTTGTTAATAATCATTCTAAGTGAGTAGCACAATATACCAAAGATAAATTATTCAGAATGACATTTATATATAGTAATGAGATCACACCGCACCCATGTCTACAAGTGGCGGACAAAAATTAAAATAAACTGTCTGCTTCGCAAAGAAGTGCATTGTTGCGTCAATATGGAGAATACATTTGACTCAGTGTCGGGCTCATTCTAAACGTTGGAAAAACAAGACGTCTTTGGATTGGGTCACGTAGCAATCGACCAGATGATTGTGCTGGTTTAAAATGGCCAAAGACACAAATAAGATCACTGATTACCGTGTTCTTTTATGACACCCGTGATGGTATTTTTCTCGCTCTAAACAAAAAAAATATCATAGAACATATCCTACCTCCATGGCCACAGAGCAATATCAAATTATATGGTAAAATTAAAGTAATTAATTCACATGCGTCTGCGAAAATAACCTACGTTATTTTTAACTGCCTTTGAGGCTCTAGAGTTGATAAAATTAAGCAATAGTATGATTGGTGACAACCGTCAAGGTGGTATCAGAATGCTTGATGTTTTTTTGATGGATCACGCGACTATTGGGTAGTAATTAGACAGATAAGGTTCCATCATGGAAATGTATCCCGTTATTCTACCTTCAAAAAGCAAACATAGAAAACCTTTTCTGATGATTTTTTTTTATTTTAAGCACTACCCTGAAATTTTAAACCTACATGTCTTCTACAAAAATGAAATTATAGCTTGGCACGCAGCTGGAGGTGGAGGTGATACCACAATAAATATAAATAACACCAAATATATTATTGGTAAATCAACCTACTGTGAAATTTAGAAATGTAAAGCAAATTGGATGCATGAAATGTTCATGTTAATCAACACGTTACCGAAACAGTGGCTCAATATACCACTACATTACATACATACATTACGAGATTATGCCCTGTCAGTGTGAAATTTATCGCACTTTGGATAACAAATAATGGAACAGGTTTTAGTATCACAGAACGTAATTGGACAAAAGTCGAACTAAGACGAGATAAGAATCACTGATTATGTACCATATATATAAAATATGTTTTTGAAATGCAGTGCCTCACCCCCTTTGGCCGATTTTCCATCGACGGAGCTATTCACGTCCCAAATTTTGGTTCTCCGGGCGTAATAAATTCCCTATCTAACCGCTGGACTGAATTAGCTATACTAAGAAGAATTCATAGAAGATTGGGCGAAATTGGTCGTTTTTGGCCCCAACGTGTTTTTGCTCGGAAACGCAAGGTTGCTCGGATCGAACGGTTTCTATTGTTTCGAGTATGTTGTGTGTCTAGAAACATAACAACTTTGTGTTTTGGTGAATATAGAACATGCTGTGTTCAAATAAAGAATTTTGGTATGCAAATCGAACAATTTTAATAGCTCCTTATTGTAACGTCTCCCATATAAATAGTCATCTACTCCCCATAATTTGACAATGGTACTAGCCCGGAATTAACTTTCATTTCAGAGCGTCTTTGATTGTAGCAATGTTTACGCCACTGTACAAAAATACGCACACTCGCGAATTTGACAACACTCAAGCTGAGTAGAATGAGCTAGGTCTGAAGTGTTTTATCCTAAATTTGTAGGAGATACATTTGGCGCGAAGATATCCAAAATTCAGTTTTTTGGGCTGTTGCTATGGCAATGGTGGGCCGCAACATTTTTGCAGATTTTTCCTAATAACTAGGGTGAAGGTGTGACCTACCTGCAAAGTTTGTGCGAAATCGGCCAAGCCAAAAAAAATCACAGAAGAAAACATAACAAAAGTGATTTTAAGGGCAATTAAAGTGGAGCGGATCGCCATAAGTGATTTTAAAGGTAATCCTAGCGGAGCGGATGGCCAATAGTGAACACAAATTTTCGTAAATATTAAAGAAAAATAAACTATGTTACATATTCTACCATGTATCTATGCGATTTAGGGGAACTAGCCACAAAATCTGAC